TATCACTGCTCAATTAGCATTTTTTACATTTCATCCGCAACTTCACATCACAAGCCACCGCCTCTTCAACTTATAGTAAACACATTGCTAGCAATCACAACAACCAATTGTAGACTTAGGAAGCGATTCTAAATATTTTTAGCCCTATTGAAAAATTCCTAGCGAAAATATCTTTTGCAATAACTGCATCTGGCTAATATTGATTTTCTTCGTTTGTTTGCGGATTTAAAGCGCCGTCTCACTAATGCCTTAAACCAAACAACATCTTCATTTTTTAAAGGTCGCTTCCACGACGCGGTTAATTCGTTGTGGTACTCTAGTTGTTGGAATCAAGTGCAAGCGAACTTGAGCTTTCAATCCTTACCATGCGATTTTTCACACATTACTGTACTGCCTACAAATGAACATTAGAAATCAAATCGCATGTCTACCGAAACGTGATGTGGTCGTATCATCCCTTGTTTACAAAACGACAATGTCTCTTTTATGCTTCGTTTGAACACCGGCTTACAAATTCCGCTTAACCTTCAACCGCACTTTCCTCAGCTTTTGGTGGACGACGTATCTGTGAAGTCAATTTTGCAATTATAGCGCAAACGAACCGTTTTCTGTAGAAAGCCCATAGAAAGTGAAACACTCTTGCCCTAATTATCGAAGATATCTTCATTTATCTTGTAAATGTCTATGGATTTGATAGTCATCCATTCAGCTACACTTCCTATACGGGACGCGTTTTCCAGGATTCCGTTTAATTCTGTGGATGTAGCCCCTCTACTACAAAATTTAGACAGTTTTATCCCACATTTATAATTGTTATAATAGAGCTCTACACCTCTAAGTGGCGTGGTAGACTCGTCGAAACACACATTTATGCTGGATCCATAGACGCGCATGCAATTTCTACCCGGAATATCGATAAGTGGCTCGGTTTTGTCTTTATGCAGAATTGAGGAAGAGGATGCCATATATGAGCACTATTGCAACTTCAGTAATCAGCTGTGTACAACAGAGTAATTTCTATCTGACAGTACAGGAGCGACGACTCTTTAATCTGTTCAATGGCTTTCAGCTTTCACGACAGGTTTCAATTGTGATTCAGTTTGTCGCATAGTCTTCCAGCAGCCCGTTCACTTATTCTTTGTTTCATTTTCGTCTTACAAATTTTAGTACTGCAAGCATTGCCTATTTAACCGGTAAAGTTCCACAACGAAAAATTATCTAAAGGATACATTCCTGGGTGCTAAAGCGTAATTGTACAATGTCGATTGATCCCACAGGAAGGTCTGCCATGCCGAAAACCTCGCCATTTCAATCTTAGAGCCCTGAAAAAATAAACTAATTCCTAAATCACTGACTTTGTGATGGTAATATAGTCACAAAGTAGCACATCTCTCTTCGATCCATAAGCGTTGGGAGTTATGGTGACATCATGGGACTACTATTGCTCTATAAACTCCAGGAACAGAAAATCTTGCCCGATAAGCGCATTACCAGTCAAATAAAGATTGTGCTCTGTCTATGTAGCTCTTGGTCGTCCGCGAATGAAAGCCATTTAAAGTTTGTGTAAGCGAAATTAATGGTAATGAACAACTGTTTGCAGAAGCAAAGGAGCTGTTCTTATGTCTATGAATTCTACAGCTACAAGTCGAAATATAGGGACAAAACTCAGCGTTTATATTCGAAACTATTATATAATTCAAAAATAAAAGTACAGATTTTTGGAAGCTTTCATTACAAGATCACTAATAAAGTGAATTCACTTTGATGTGAATTCACTACTTACAAAAAATCTAAAAGAAAAAAGTAATAACTTCTAAATGAACACTCTTTGAAGCGGGATATCCATGATAAGCATGACGTACCGTAACATGAACAATGATGCATGCAGAAAAGAAAAATTCGACTTTTGGTCATAGTTTAAGTATCTCGAATAGAAAAACTATTTCCATAAAAACACAATACAATACAACGCTAGCTGACGTTTCAACAGCAGGCCTTCTTCAGCTGTTCTATAATCAACTGTTCTAAACTTCCTCATTGGAAGTCACGAAAAAGCGGCTCTGAAGAAGGCGATACTGCCGAAACGTCAGCTAGCGTTGTATTGTATTGTGTTTTTATGGAAGTAAATGTATGCTGTTTAAAAACCTCGCGATTGCTGAACGAGAAAACGACACATTCATATTCCAGTGCTGAGGTTAAGAGAAAGTCGATCCTGGGAACTATTACAAGAAAAACTATTTTTCGCCGAGGAAATCTTAATAAAAAAGGAGCCGACATGGGCTTCCCTGATCACTCCCCTTGACGGGTGATTGCTGATGGCACTGGTAGATAGAAAACTAGCTGAGAGAAACGCAGAGCACAGAACGCGCCTCTCAGTGTGTGATGCGCATGCCCCCAGGAAAGCGAAATCGTGGTTCGATCTGGCTAGAGGCTAAATTTTGCCAATGTCTCCGCATCGTTGTGGTTGCATTCGATTAGTCATTAATTGAGGATACATAATGTGGTAAAAAAAAATTTCTGGAACCACTAACCTGAAGATGGAAACTATAGTGTCGATGCGGGATGTTGAGAGTTAAAGTTGTGCACTTTTTTCAATGAAGACGAAAACATCGAAACGTTAGCCAAGCAAACATCTCTGTCAACCTCGTGTAAAGATAATGATCCAAGAAGGTATTAGAGTTCTGTGTTGCTTCAGTTGCCTAGCTACTGTCAATATGAATGAGAGTTTCACTTTCTATCGAGTTACAGTTTTTTTTGAATGCAGTCATGAAGTCATGAATCCCGATGAAATGAAAAAAACACGAAAGCCATAGGTTGGGGCTTCGTCTGCACAATTAATGAAACTGGGAAACATTAAATCATCTTCCACCACATCAAAGTATCACATCAGTGTATGACGGTTATGAAAAATTTATACACTTCAATAAAATTAGGCAAGAAATCTCTTTTTTACCCCATGAAGAACATACAGAAAACATCGAAAATGATGCGGCGACAACGCAAAACATGGATATTGACTGACGACGTCATGAATATATTGTTTAAAGAATCAGAATTTTCCGCTCTAATTCTAAAAATTGAATCGTGTTTTCGAAAGCACATAACTTACATGGACAAATAGAAAAAGCGAAAAAGATAGAATTGATATGTTCAGCAGAATACAGGAGAATCGTTCAAAATGTCACCAAAGACGTGCAATAAAGACAAAAATACAAGAGATCTAAATTAATGATTGAGAAAATCAATATGAAGCGCAAACGATCCCTAAAAATCGTAAAATCTTTAGATTTTGTTATATCCTGCTCCATAGGAGAGGCAGTATAACCAACATTTCCGTGACGTTTTCCGTAGACGCGACTCTTCAATGCTCAGCAAAGGCTCTCCAACCGTTTGATTTTCCGAGACGCCATATAGGTTTTCTCATAAATAGGAATCTTCGTGTACAGACAGCAATCGATCGTTCGTAAAATTTGTGTCGATGGTGATGAAGTCTGCTAAAGCATAATATCCCTGCATTTTTATTTCTGCAAATGCTCGTTATTATGGGCAATTCTGTTACCGTTGGCAGCCAGCACAGAACTGCCATGCTATTTTGTTCACTTCTCTGATGTCTAGTCATACATTTTTTAAACACAAAGTTACTTGTTTCTAGGTGTACTATAGTTTTCTTGTCCCCGTCACGCTAATTGAACCACTTCTTCAATACAAAATTCCTGCTTGTGAAAATCTCAATCATGTCGACATTTAAAAACTCTGCCTCAACAAAGAGCCCAAAGAGTGTTAAACATGGAAACTGATTAAATCTAGGCCATAATTTAAATCTCTGCCTTTAAAACCAGTGTTTTAAATCTCGACTTGAAGCAAAATCAAAGATTAAAATTGTAATGGTGGATTTTTCGAATAGGAAATGAATCGCGAATATCTCATCGTTCTTTGACAGAGATCTGGGAAAACTCTTACGACCTCAAGTAATTAAAATGATTCACTAAGAAATTTTCCTTCTCGAAAGATGTGCATTAACTGAGATGTAAAAAAATCACATGGCTGTAAAAACCAATGCGTGATTTTTGTACAATCATTTTCAACTTTTTTTTCAAAGCAATCCATAGAACGATAAGTTCCTCCTTTCCTTTTTTCTGAAAAAATATTTCTCAGACTCACACTTACACTGGTTCGTGCTTCGCTCATTGAGATGCGTCCGTTGTGTGCACGTTTCGGATAGGAAAACCGAGCGTGCTTTTAGTGGGCCGCAAGACGGTAGAAAACGCTCGAAAATTTCGTGAAGTCGACTAAAAATGTGGCATCATTGAGATATCATTGAAAGCGCAAGAATTTTCATTGGCTAACTTATGAATAACACGATATTAGCCGTGTCAATTGGAAGTTGTATGCAAAATAACCATGTTAACTATGAAAATTCATTATCTGGCAACGAACTACCATTGTTCATTGCCTATCGCTCACTTATACTATTGCTGCTCAGCGCTGACACTGTCTCTTTGAACTTTCGTGCAAATTTCTCCCAGCCTAAGCATAGTTTTTGTTGCGAGGGTTATGAGTTGGACCAGATAACGCCGTCTGTTTCACTCCACAAAATAATCGCGCCTGTCTTGTTGTGGTTTCAGCCCTGCAACTCGGTTTTTGTACGTGTTTACTTAATAATTTGTGCGCTTTCCGTATAATTTATACCCGTGTGTGATGAAAGAAACCTATTAGGAGTCAAGCTTATGGTCATGGTTGTTAGCAGTTTTTGACTTCGTGCTCACGAAATAAAGGCTTTGCGTAGCTTCGGCGGAGCTTTGGAAACATATTCTTTTGGTGTTACAGCTATCCAATAAACTGTAATTATTCTTCCACAACCACTAAGATGTAAGACGTATAAAAGAAACTGATAAGAAGATTCTACAGCATAGACATGAGTTCCAGTAACTATCATACATCACGAGAAAAGTGTATTCTATAACTCCGTCGTGTCTTCAACCCCCAACATCTCCCATTTATCAAAAACTATCATCTATTATTGAAGAACATGTAGGTCCGTAATTAGGCGTCCCACGCGGCAATCGTGCAAGATTAGGCGTCGTCGCGTAAGTATTAACGAAGTCGAATATATGGCGTATCGCTAAGGGAAGTAATTCAATCTTTATTTGTGGCGAGTTAAAAACTTTGGTTTGTGGAGTATCGGAAGAAATGGGCCATAAGACAAAGGTGGCAAGATTAAGTTACACTTAAAAGTGAGCTACTCTAGCAACATAATCGATAACGGTTAGAAATCCAGAAATATTCTGACTATAAAAAATGGAAACGCTGACCTGCAGACCATCTGACGAAATTTGTTAGAGAGGCTGATATAGACGAAGAACGATAGGCTCATGTTACAAAGCCCGAGGAATACTCCTACCGTATTCCATACACACACCGGAATCTCGTTGATCACCCGAGGACCGCTTATTGCGGCGTAGATAAACACAGGTATCGGTGGCAATTCGGCCAATAACTGAAGATTCCCCACGTTAGTATTCATTTCATCAACATTGTCTATTTGGTTCGTTCTCATCGCTATAGCTCCTTTTTAATAAATGATTATCGCTAGACCTCAATAAGCACTTTCGGTCGTGTAATTTATTCAGTGATATATTTATGATAGATAAGAAACTAAGAGTACATTTACATTTCTTATTCACAGACTTTTACCATTATGCTCAATTTTTCTACTCTTATAACATAGTAAGTCACATTGTTTTTTTACTGTTTCTATCTATCTCTTTCATTCTTTCCTCATCTCCCAATTTCTCTCCTTACTTCTAATACTCCTATTTTTTCGCTTCGGGTATTTTCACAATGCGATGAAAAAAGCGCAAGTTAATCATATACACGAAAGTCCACACTACACGAGATATTTGTGTTGTTCCACTGGAAACTGTTTGTCCTGTCCAGCACAAAATAAAAATTGAACAATAGTTTTTAAAAAATGGTGAAAAATGATCAATAAGACGACAAATGAAAGGAAAAGAAGGAATGAATGGAAAACGTGGCGTTTTTTCTCCACGACTCTTCATATGATTTCAAGCTCTTGCGAAAGTCAATTATAGAAATGGAAGAATTATTTCCATTCAGCCATCTTTAACCTTTACAAATAATTTCTTAGTCAGAATCACTTCAACAAACCAAGTTTTCCTTCATCCGAAAACAAGAACATTCACAACCAACACTGGATCAGTGTTGTTTCTTCAGATGAACAAAATTCGACTAAGATAAAGAGTAAAGCTGCTAATACAATGAGTTATATTCTTATTCTATTTAATCTTATTAATAAGAATTCCCAAAGTTTCTATTCATCTACTTGATGAACAAACAACATCATCATTGTCAAAAATAAGTAACTGCGGTGATCTTTATGTATACGTTTAACTAAATCCAACAGTCATCCTTCTCTACAAATTCGTTAAGTGAGGCAGAAATGAGGAAAGAACTGTGGCTTACCTGCAAACTTGTGGTGATAAGTGTGATTCTTGTTACACATCGTTTCTCAGAACTGAAAAATATGTCCGCTAATAAAAATCCTTCACGACCAAGCCATTTTATTTAGATGGCAATTTATTATCAGGTCTCTTTGATAGTCATGCTCGATTTCTGAGTCCATTTTTCTTACATATGTTTCAGCAAAAGCAATCTAATGCTGTACCATTATATATCTAGTGCTGAAGTCAATTTACGCACTTCCGCTCGGTAACCTTGAATTTTGTGTTTTAAAACAGCAGCTTCGACAAATTTACTTCTAAGGTACAATGTTCGTTTAGAGAATTTTTTCGCGGGCGAATTCAGCCTTGAAAATGAGAGAGGTTGCGAACGCTCTTCTGCTATTAGCGACGATGAATTGAAGGGCTTCACGAAGTAAATAAGCACACAAACTGTTCAAGAACTTGAAGAGGAATTCTGACTAACCATCTTAACCGTCTTGGACCATTTGAAAAGTTGTAAAGTCCAAGACGCTCTACGAATGAATGCTGCACCAATTGGATGACAATCAAGGAGAGCATCATTTTGGGGCAGCGTCTGTACTTTTTTCTGCGCAATCAGAACGACTCATTGACCGCATTGTGATGTGCGACGACAAATGGATCTTCTGTGACAACCAGTGGCTATCGGACCACTGGTTGGACCGGGATGAACTTCCATTGCTCATCCAAAAGTTGAAATTGGGTTTCTTCCTTCGTTCCTTACTCTACCCTTCCAAATACCACTTCCTCAAGTATCTCGACAAATTCCTGTACCAGAAACTCGTCAAAAACCAGGCCGACGCCGAAACCCCCTTCAACGAGTTCATCGCATCCAGGAGAACATAATTCGAAACAGCTAGTGTGAGTAAACTCGTTTCTTGTACATAAGAAACTGTAGATTACAACGGTAGGCACTTCGATCAAAAAGTTTGTTGCCAGTCTAGATATACCGCTTTAAAAAAGGTTGAAATCGGTTTTTAATTTCTGAAGGACCATATAATTTGTCCGTTAATGTAGGGAAAAGTGTCCGAAATTCAACAAGAAATCGCAGCTGAACTCACGTGAAATGCGAAGTGTTCGGAAACTCGGACTTCCGTAGGACAAGTTTCCACACCACCGAAATTGTCATAAACACAAGTAATGACATCGGTATGATAATAGCGAACAACAGATTACCGATGGTGTGCAGCCTTTCGATTAACGTCATTAGTGGTGCTAAAACACCACAAAAACTTAGCTTAGATCATTTACTAATAATATTTTACTATTACATTTTATACATTTCCAACACCATGAAAATACTACTATACTGTTATTTTCGAATACTTTGTCAGTTTTGCTTATCGAACGATAAAACAATGAAGTAATATTGACGCCGCAGTGGTTAGAGGAGTTTGGCAGTACACATGGGATCGATCCCGCGCCCTAGGCTCACCAAGCTTTCCATTCCTCCTGGGTCGACAATTTGCTACTAGACTTGTCTGGAAGGTTAGAATACTGATTTGATACATCGGTAAGCCATCGCGACTCATCGTCGAGATAAGATATGCATTCAACCACCTCTAATGATGCTTAGTGATGTCGAATACATTGCGCATTCCTCGGGAAATGATTTACGCCGAAAGCTTTATGGTTTTTTATTTATAGTCACTTTTGCTCGTTAAGTGATGGTGAAGTGATTAAGGGATTGTGAAAAGAAACTGGCGTTATGAAATGTTTAGAATTTTGTCAGACGACCGTGCTGCACTAGATAGAAGGGCTCTGCGACACACAAACAGCCTTTGTTTCAACCAGGCTCGGGGCAAATAAGCTCTTCGGTCCAATCATCAAAAGCCGACGACTGCTTGTGGTTAAGATCTAGTACTGCTCTCTCAGAGGTGTCCTGATAGTCGCTCGTTCTTGCTTTGTTATTATTACCACTATTACCCGCAAAAATGTAGAACCATTATTGTTTGCGAAGTAAGCTTATTAGTATTAGCGTCTGCACAAAGAATGATGAATTTCAGATGCTCAAGAAAGTGATGCAACCTTGATTATTTAATACTGCACATGCGTCAATTATCGATTACTGACGACCGTGCTACCCATGGATCGTCGCCTTACAAATGCCATATTCCTTTAACATTAAGAACTTTCCACAAATCAGTCTAGTATTATTTCATTGTTTAACACATTGAAGACCATATAAGTCATGCATGGGTCTCACGGCTTGCGCCAAAACGTGTGAATAAAAGACATTTTTTGTGCATCTATCTTTTTTCCTCGTTTTCTTCTATTCAACCAGCACTTTTCGACCTAATAATACAGTAATAATGGGAATAATAGTGGCGTCATAAAAGTAAAATGCCTTCCTGACCACCAACGTTTATCGATTTCTCGATTCCACGATGGAAAATTTGAAAAGAGGCACCCAATGTTAGCTTAAAGGTGCTAGGGTAGGCTCTGTCTAGTATGAAAAGCGAAACTTAAAATCAGATAAATACGAAAACAGTGTGCACTGTTAGGTGAAACCTGTTGCTCTCATCAGAATTTGTCGAACATGTTATTCTTTGTCGAAAAATAAAGGAAAAAGGGCAACTTAGAAGTTGTGCATTATTGAGGAAAAGCTTCCAGAAGAAAAACGAAAACATCACCTTATTTATTTGACCTGAGTTCACATGTTCTTCAGGTCCCAGCACTTCATTCATTCGCTTCCTTGTTTCGCATTCATTATCCACAAAGGTCCTCCTATTTACCTTTAAATCCGACTGCCTCTTGAGGATTTTTGTCACCTTTACAAATGCCGTTGACTGTTGACAAAGTTAAGGAATGTTCTCCAAATCCTGAGATAGCTCTATCAAGCGTTCCCATGTCTCCATCTCACAAGCGTTTACCGGCTTTTGTGAATCAGAGAAGGCTCGTCTAGTACCAATTTGCCAACTACAGAGGAGAGGAATGGGTTGCACGGCTTCTCTAGCCACTGCGCTTCCTACGCTCCAACAAAAACAAACATTCTCTTTTACTGACCACTAACATAAAACTTACAATCGCTGGCGATGATGTGAACGACAACACGATCACACGAATCGATGCTCAGCGATACGGAACGATTCAACGGATAAATAATAGCCAGAAGTAGACCGACAATTGCCACTACTACATAACTTCTAAAGTAAAAGGCGTTATACAGAGACCTTACAAACTAAGAGCTCATCAAGAGCACAGTGCAGCATGTTCAAACACTTTTTGGACGAGGTGTAACACGTGATAAAAAAAATCACTTACGTTAATCTTTAACATAAATACGGATCAAACCTACTTAGCACTTATTAAATAGACAAACAATTTCTATGTGAAAAGCTACAAAAGACTATCGAACATATCTGAAATGACGTGAACGGTGAATTGTTTCATGTTTTGCGGGAGTTATTTCTGTAAGTCGAACAGACGTCAGACAGATGGAGCACCATTGTATGATGGAAGAACCACTTACTAGTTATTTGAGTTAGGTTTATTCTTGTCTTGTCCGAATCTTTAAAGTTTTCTCTACAATGGTTTTCTAAGCAAGAAACTGACCTGGATAGATTCCGTTTCGTGCAAATCGATTTTGAATGAGTCGGAAAGAAAACATGCAAGTAACATTCGCCAGTCATCAACACTGTTAACCTTAAACATACTGCAGTAAGCTCGAAAATTCCAAAGAAAAGATAAACTTTGTCTGCATAGAAGAATTCAAATTTCGTTAAGACACATTCGTTTTCAATAAGTAGTAGTCATCGAATAAAGTAATACATTTCTTTCTTTTCAAGAAAAATTCTTTTTAACAAGATCAGTTTGATTTTCAAAGCTGACATTATTTTACTTCCACTGGCTCATTCTCTTTTGCGACGCGTTTTTTATCTAAAATACGATGCAGATCGGGAGCTTCACTCTACTCTCTCACGGTCATCTAAATTAAGAAACTCAACACTTTCCGTTTGGATGCCCGGAAAAAAGAGTAAGCCTGTGCTATAGCAAAGCATGGCGAGTGAGCTACTATCTCGAAAAAGAAAAATAACGAAAAAAAAATCATCCCATAAGTGTGATGTGGGTTCGGCTACCTCAAGGAACTCCTTCAGTAGCTCTGGTGCGCGATGGATAGGAGTAGAATTTAGGAATGTAGGTTTGAGTTACTGGATAATTAACGGTGATTACAGGTTAGAATATGACAGGATTACATTTATATGAAGGGCGAATTGAACAGTGGTAGTAATGCCAATGTCCACGAGCATACTGGTTCGATTACACTCCGTGTTAACCAAGCCTCTCATTCCACCAGAGTCGGGAAATTGGTATCGGATTTGTCCGAGAAAAAGCACTCCGTGCATTCCAGTTGGGATCACTCTAGCTCAGCTATCGCAGAACCCTAGGAAGAATCGACTCGACTAGCATTGTACATTTCGAGATGAAATGAAAATCATCAAGCAGCAACCGAAGCCACACGTAAAAGAATGGAAGACCTTCGTGGCTGATGGGTGAGAGGAAACGAATCGAATGTGAGAAGTCCTAGAATCCGTATAGCGCATGTGGAACCACATAGTGCACCACATAAAATAAAATATACATATATAGTTCCCAAGATCGACTTTCTGTTAACCTCGGCATAGGTCAAACGCTTCAACAACGCAAACAGAAGGATGAAAATTTGAACAATAATTACACGATCACCGGTTTCTCGAAAAAATCACGGTTTTTATCTGCTTTCCATCAAGGAAGAACAGCCACTTAGAGTTGCATATGGTTGATAACTGCACCACCCCACATCAAAAATTAGTTCTGAGATACGGGGCACGATCACGCGTTATCTCAGGGCATTCTTCCCTGCTATTCATTCTCAGATTTTTGGAATTTATCCAAAAAGCCTCGAAAAATTTGCGCGCTGGTGTTTTAGTCTACCGTGCGATGATAGCGACTTTTACATCAAAGTCGTCTCCGCTATGCTTTTGCATCCTATGCGTGCATAGTAGGGTGTTTTGTCTTAGTTTTCGGTTGCCATCTAGGTGTTCTTTACACGGATACACAAAGGTCTGCCCGTTTTGCCAATATATTCATTTCCGCAATTATTACAAAAGATCAGGTATATCGTACCTAAACTCATGCAATCACCGACCTTGCCGTAAGGACAAATTACGCAGTTTGGTGTTTCACATAGACGGTCATACAGACGGTTACGAACTAATTGACGACGTAGAGTATCCGGTGGTATTTCAACTATTTCAACTATTGCCACCGATTCCTCTACATCTGCCCTCCTTAATGTCGCTTTATCGCTACACTTATTTCATCGCTAATGAAGGGCAAGTTAAACGGGATTTTGTTTCGGCCAAACCCTTCGTTTTGGGACGTCGCTCTCCCTCTAAACTTATCAGGTCGGGTTACTATTTCGCAGCCTTTGACTCGACCCCTAAAACTGACCTTTTCCTTCGCTAAAAAATGAAACTTACAGTTTGCACTTTGTACCTCCACAAAGTAATTTTGATCAAAGATTCTATTCACCTTTGTTTAATTAAAAAAGGGCGTTGTGACGACGGGTGTGGTGTAGTGGTCGGAGACGCTCTGCAACACACGTGGAATCGATCTCAGCGCCCATGTCCCCACCGAGCATTCCGTCTCTCCGAGGTCAGAAAATTGGTAGCAGACTTGTCTGGGAGGATAGTAGCACTGGCTTGATACATCGGTAGGCCACCGCGAGCCATTATATAGGTCAGATATGCATTTAATCACATTTAACGATGTCTTATGTAGTCGAATACATGGTGCGTTACTCATGGACTGATAGCGCCGAGAGCTTCATCCTTGTGCTATGGCGTTTCGCACAAATGCGTGCTATCAGAGCACTTCAAAGTATTTTGCAATTTATGTTGAATCTATTTCGGTGTTTTTTTTTGTATTTTTTCCCTTTTTCCGCACATTCCCTGCAATAACCATGATGATTGAAATAAAATGCGAGATAATTGGACCAACGACCTCGTGTGTATTGCAACCACGTCTAACCACAGCGCTGCATCCATCCCTTATGGTGATATGTCAAATTGCCGATTAGTAAACTTTTTCGACGAAAGGTTTTCTTAAATATTTAAGTAAAGAAAACACCCTTTCCGACTCCATCCATACTATTTTTATGTGCATTCGGCAACCTATGGAATAAATATACGCAGTGCGTCACAAAAATTCTGCAATGAATTAACTGAAAATGACTGATATACTGTCCATTCCGGATCTCTGGATCAAAGTAACACCACTGATGATAGATTGTTAGGAGGAAAACTGAGAAGATCTGTCGGTCCGGCAGCCGAGACAAAACTGGTAGTATGTTTGTCTTTCCTGTTAAGAAAGGCAGCTGTACTCATGGAATAAATGGTCAGTCATTGATTACCAGGAAGATAACAACACTGGCAATCTTAACCCTTTTATTTACTGCCTTCTTCTTTTTAATGGTAGGGTATGTTTCGAAATATAACTCGTATATAATGCTGAGATATTTGCAAAACTCCGGACCGCAGGTGTATGCGGTGGGGAACGAACCCGTGCTGCTTCCCGGTAAGGACAACAGCGCGGGTTCGTTCTCCACCGCATACACCTGCGGTCCGGAGTTTTGCAAATATCTCAACACTGGCATTCTTCGTTGGTTCAATGTGAGTGATTGGACCAACGATCTTATGTGTATTGCAACTACCTCTTACCACAGCGCTAAACTCACCTATGACGCTTTATCATTAAAGTTATAAAAATATTTCACATCTTTTGTGGTGTTTTCATTCTTTGCAGAACGAAAGCGGTTCTGAAGGAAGCGAAATAGTCAAGACCTTTTTAAGTCGTTGAAAATCAGAACTACATGTTCATAACCTTGTTTCAGTTCAGTGTATAGGAAAGAGTTAGCATGAACGGAATAACTTGTTGAGTAGTGCCGAGAATAAAAAGAAAGCAATTCTAATCGATAGAACCCTAGTTTCGGCTTAAATTACAATTGTGAAGAACACTTGTAATTAGCATACTTTGCAATTCAACAATGATCTTATCATTGTGGATTTTGGATAGTCATCAAAAGAACTTACCACATCGCGCAAAATCCGAACACATTTACGAAATACGCCTGGTATGGGTAGTAGCTCCAATAGATGGAATCAGCTGCAGAATTCATTTCCCACACACCGACAGTTCTTAGCGCTTGTGGTAAAAGGAACAGCATCGCCAGTGTATTCATCAACTGTAATGTTGATGATATTTTAACTTTTATTTACAGCCTATTTTTTCACACAAAGTTATGATGTGGAATACAGTCACAAAGATGCTGAGACGTGAGTAAAACTCGGGACCGTAGTTGGGCTTCGACTCCATATGGTGTGCTGGATACCACGTAATCCCACATAAACGTCGTCTTGGATCCAAAGCCCACCCAAGGTTCCGAGTTTTGCTCACATCTCATCGTCCTTGTAGTGTTGGTATTTGTACATGAATAGCAGTACTTGAATTGCGCTTGATGCAGAATCAGTACAATTTCCGTTTGACTAATAATTTGCTGATGGAGCGATATCTTCTATTTCGCATTTTGAAATATCCATCCTAGGATTTTCTAAGGCCCTCAGTGCTGTCGTTAGCGTTGTCATCTGACAACCATATTACTGCCGTAATTCTGGGCAAAAGTTCATCCTCAAATGAACTTTCGGATAGGAGTGTTGGCCAATGAACCCCGCCCCGACTAGGCAGTAAACCACTATGAATTTTTCGTTACATTACTGGAGTGTGTTTAAAATCCTATGAGGTTTTGAATAATATGCTTTTTCTAACGTGTAACCGTTTTCTGAAATGTGATTATTAAGTTTTGCAAATAAATTTTGAACCACTTAGGAACCATGATATCATAACAAAATAGATCAGCTAGAATCCCAAGTATTCCATAAATGGAATCGTTAATATCCGTTGATTTCGGGGTTTCGTCACGCTCACCAATCGAGTGCAGAGCATTCGAATTGCGATGTAGTATCGAATCTGATCCGAATTGTAGATGAGTAAATTGATACAGTTGCCGACCATCGCCAAAAAGAACACCACCAGGAAACCGTATCCCATCAGCATAATGTGAAACGAACGTTGGTCGCATCGCAACTGAAATTTTATCCACACATTTCGAATCATTATTGAATTTCTGTTGATAATATTGCATTAGAGTTGAAAGATATCCATTGAAAGTGAAGAGGATTTTCCTATACAATAGCACTAATTGGCATTGCAAACAAAAAGTCTATAATGGTTTTAACTCAATCCAATGGGGTGAATGCGTAGCAAACACGTTCAATGGACCGTTCTTCTGATTGCGGCGCAGTCATCCCATCGGTACGTAGACGGGATTCGCAATTATCTTATGACTGGAGTATTACCAAAGCATGAAAATCGTCAGATGAATTGTTGATTGTTACGATATCTGTAAAATCGTCATAAATTATTGAAGAGACCTCTTACTTCTTGTTGATTACAGGCTTTATTATAGACGGATTCGATCATTCGCATAATGTCGTTCACTGGATCCTCAGTTGAATTTGAAATTAGAGGCATATTCTGAAACAGAAACGTCGCAGAATCGCACGCGCAGTTGCATAAGGGAGAGAAAGAGAACGATATTACGCAGGATCGGGAGTATCTGGAAAAGTATAAGAAAATTATCGTCACCATTCCTTATATGATTATTGACAATAAGGTGAGTGTCTCAGGGTCAAAGAATAAATGACTCGTCTACAAGCAAACTCCTAAAATGAAAACGGAGTAGGAAGGAAATGCCAAGGAGAAATAACCAAGCTTCAAGAACTGCTCAACCAATGGAGAATTTCAATCTTACTGATATTTTGTCGAATGAATAAGTATTGCTTTCTTTTCTATAGTCGTAGCATATCCCCATAAGAGTGTCACTACGGGCCCGGCAAATGTGAAATGAAGCTTTGCACCTTAGGAGCAGGTTTCATTTAACACTGCGTAGTGATTGGTGATCTAGACGGTAGCTCTCCTGATTCCGTCAGCACAGTGAGGAAGTAGGGAAGTTATGGTGGAAAAAGAGAAAGTCGAAGTATTAAGGCTTAAAGATACAGCCACGATCTTTAAATAGATTTGCTGCTGAAACTTTGACGGTCACATTTTCTGGATATAAAATCACAGACCGACAAGTAGAACATTTGTGTAAATTCGAACAGAATCAGAACGACCACAGTGTAAGCCTTCAACTATGCGGACCTACGTGCTAGTTGTAAGATGAAACCGCAGCCGAATCCAGGTCGCACAGTTTTATGGATGACAGCTACCAGACAAGAATTCTAATGAGAAAACTGCCTGGAAGCCGAAAAATGTGAGGACATGTCACTTAGCTCTCCAAGGAGGTAAAAAATGAATCAACAAAAAAAGGAATACGTTTCTCCAATGGATTCCATTCTGATCAGAATGCTAAGTGACTGATTTTTTTTCCCATCTAAATAGCGCTCCGTTCAGAGCAACAAGTAATTTATGAATTAATGTGCCTGCTGAGGCCTCCTATGCTAATACCACCGCTTCTTCCATTTGATTCGCTGTGTTGCATTCGTCATCCACAAAAGCCTTTGGATTCACATTCTGTTCGGCTTCCGCATGAGGTTCTTGTCCTTCTTTGTGAACTGTCGGCGGGTTTCCCCAGAGAAGTTTGGTAACAAACTATAAATGTGGAGAGAACGGGAGAGCTGGGTGTGCTCAACCTGGCATGTGCTGGGCTTCAAATAGACGGCATCTCTAACCACTGCACTCTTGTTGATGAGAACCGTGTATCGTTGTGCGTTCACGTGAATTTTGGCACCACACTCCTCCCATTTTTCAAGCTTTTCGTCGGAGATTTCTGGGAGAAGGAATTATGCACTGACGAATGAATGAGATGAATAATTGATTAGACATTGAGAATCTAGACTGCATCGGATTGAATAAAATAACGCTCGGGGAAGTTAGCAGATTATTATTTGGAAAATGATGCATAAACTACGAAATGGAAAGATCATAGTCAAAAAAATTTCCAGATAGCTGGAGCGTTCACGTTACTTTTTCAAAATTCAGCAGTGAACAAAATTACAATGAGGTTAAGGGTAAAGCCGAAATAACATAATAAAAATATTCGATAACGAATAAAAAAATAAAAAAAACAGAAGAGAAAGGAAAAATAAGAATACTAAGAGGAGAAAACAGAGTGATAATGATGAAAACTAAGGAAAATGCGATGAAACGTAGAGTACAGCAATAAGTCAAAAACAAGTGGAGTGAAATAAAATGAAGAACAAGATACGGCTACGGAATAAAACCGAGTAGGCATCTCATAGGAATAATGACCAAAGGAAAAGGTTGAAGAAAGAGAGCAAGGAAGCGTAGAAAGCAGGAACGAAGAGCAAAGAGTGACTGGTATAAAAACGGTGGGGAAGAGCAGAGCGAAAGGGACGTCGAAAAGATGAAGGAGAAAAAATAAGAAAAAAAGGTAGCTATGAACAATTGGGAGTAGAGATTGTTGGGTAGAACACAGACGATGAGATGTTAGAAATTGAGAATAAATAGTGAAGATCGACGAACGAAGACGACGGAATTTTAGAGTGAAGTGGGAAACTAAAGGCGAAAAATAAACACGGGAATAACTCGTAAAGTTAGAGAGAGATGACATTTCTTTTCAGACAGATGAACGATTTTACTGGCTTCTGAGCTGAGTTAGAATTGTGTCAACCAGAGTGTTTTTATTCAAACGATTCCAAAAATGATTTAAATTCTTGAAAAAGGATGGAAAAAGAAACAACAACGATGTCGTTGGGTCCGGTTGAGCTTTGTCGACTTTTGCCACAATTTGATCTCCGCTAGGCATGAAACTCATCCAGAGGCTGGGCTTCATTCGTCCCTTCTCCGACCAACAAATACACTAGAAAGTCGATCATGCTCATCTCGCAGTTCCTCACTGGGAATTTATTCTCTTAAGATGAACAATAGGCAACGAGCTTATCATTTACGGCACTCACCTCAGTGCACATGTGCTTCTCGTCGGCTTTGAACGTGCCACAACTCAATAGCAAAATAAAGGAAAACAAAAGTATAGCCCATATATTCGAGAAGGTGGACAAATTAGGAGTGAAGAGATTATTAGGACGTTAAATGACTTCATTTAAGTAGTAAAAGTGGCGATTGCCAATATGCTCGTCACCTCATGGGAACATATAAATAGCCAATTTTTTCAAATTGTGAACGCCTTAGTAAAATTTCCAATTTAGTGTCATTTCACTACTTGTTGGCACCTCCTCCTTTTGAATTCCAAGTTTATCAGCACGTTTATAAATCACCATCAACACAAGAACTGACCTACCACAAATGTTGGGCCTGAAGAATGTTTGGTTGCATCAGGAGTGAGGTTGTATTCGTACGATTGCAACGAGCATCGGCTTACATTCATAGATGGTGAGGTTCCAGAAAAAATTATTGCTCTCCAGAATCTGTTCGGCAATGAACTTCTGACTTCGCACATTTCATTTTAGCTTCCAGAAACAATTGGTAATCCCATCATAACGTCAATAACATCAATAAGAATTCGATAAAGATATATACACACGACAATTATATATTAATGTATATATATAACTATATATACATATATATAACTTTAAAGGGTGCGTAGCTCGGTAATAGAATATCCTTCTCAATTTTAACTTTCACTGCCTACCCTTTTTAATGGCAGGGCATATCGCAAACTATAACTTCAACGATGCTGAGATATTTGCAAAACTCCGGACCGCAGGTTTCTGTATACATTATGTTAATACAGTATAATACATTATGTTTTATATTTTTTATATTTATATTACATTATAACGCTTATACACATGTAGATATATATTTAAAGGTAAATGAAAAAACGATATGTTGACCAAAATATCACAAAACAGTCAAAAATTTCACCGAAAAATTGCTGCTTCTCTAACGATTCACTTTGCTTGGTGAAACAACAAAGGTAGCATAGGAATGTATTTCAAGAGGAGGGAGGAAGGGTGGAGCTAACATCTGTAGTATTAAGGAGGATGAACTTTTTGAGGCGATGGTTATTTCACTTGACGCGCATAGCAATGAAGCCACAATAGGGGACGAGGAATGAAAGCCACTAACAGAAATTGCAAAAGAACTTCTTAATAAAAGCGAACCGGAAAACGAAATAGGAAGCCGAAAACGATGGCCATCAGTGCAGAACCAGTAAAGGTATGTATGCTGCGGCCATGTTAGCTTAGTTACTAGTCATAGAATGCTTACTTGTAACGTATTAATCATCAACATGACACAAGTCAATTTCATGCCTCTCAGTTATCCCGAATCATTGTAAAGGTTTCATTTGCGAATCTGAAGAATGCGATTTTGGATGTTGACTAATGCAGAACTGAGTTCTCTCAGAACACGTAAGCTGAACGTCAACTCTCTACAACTTGCGGAAACCAGATGAAAGCCGACGACAGTTTCACTGCATCGTCATGACGAAGTTGGGCTTCGATCAGTGAAAACAATTCCATGGATATACAAGACACTGGAGGCTCACATGACGTCACTTAACTCAGACGACTATTATTAACTCAGCCTTCTCAATATTATAATTTTTCATAGTTCTTTCTACATAACCATTAATTAATGGATTAGTTAAATGCTACGTCTTTACGAATCACGTACATCATGTGTCGATCTCAGAATATTTTCTAGTTGTTTACTCTTACAAAGGCAGTAACTATGTCATTGGCAGGATTACAGTGAATGCTGGAACTTACGTATTCATAGTCCCGGTTCTGGATAGAAATGTTGACGTCATGCCCACCCCGTTCTACCGTGCGGCAAGGACACTTCTGCAACACATCGCATTTCGACACTTATAGTCACTTCCTCGCCTCGATGGTGAGGCATTACACGGTAGTTGGTCTTCATAAGTCCTTAAATAATTTGACTTTTCTTAACCTTTTTATTTACTGCCTATTCTTTTTAGCGGCAGGGTGCGTTGGGAAATATAACTTCAAGGATGCTGAGATAGTTGCAAAACTCCGGATCGCAAGTGTCTGCGGTGGGGAGCGAACGCGCTATTGTCCTTTCCGGCGAGTAACGCGTTCACCACCACACCATGCGGATCCTTCGTTTCCCCTGTCTCTCAGCTAGTTCTATCGATCTTTTGCCACCAGCAATCACCCGTCAACAGGATTGACCTGAGGAGCCCAAATCGCCATTGAACCCAGTTAAGCTGAGGCTATGGTCATAATAACAATCTTAACCTTTTTATTTACTGCCTATTCTTTTTAATGGCAGGGTATTTTCTGATTTGCTCCGATTTAGGCTCACCAGATCAATCCTGTTGACGAGTGATGGAGCTGATCGATAGAACTAGCTGAGGGACAGGCGGGCGAAACGAAGGATCTGCATGGTGCGTTGGTGAATGCGTCATTCCCCGGAAAGAACAATAGCGCGTTCGTTCCCCACCGCAGACACCTGCGATCCGGAGTTTTGCAAATATCTCAGC